CACCCAGGGTGATTTCCCAGGGGGTCACCTTCCAGGCACTGAAGTCTCCACTTTTTCCTTTCAAGTGTATCAGCTTTTGAAAGCAGATTTCTCATGGAAAAGGCTTAGTGGGCTTTCGAAGCTCACAGTGTCTGCACCTGGAGCCACAAACCCGACTTTGATGCACATATTTTCTGTGGGTAMGCTCAAGGGCATTCCAGGGAGTGCTGAACAGAAATACAAGATCAATACTTCCTGGGCCCATTCTGCCATTCACTGCTTATCTCTTTCACGTAGGTCACCTTTAAATCCTCCCCAAGCCCCTGGGAAGTGAATGTTTTATCCCCATGTCATAGATTTCAGAACTGAAGACGAATTAGGTGAGTGACCTGCTCAAATTAACATAACAAAATATTTTCAAGTTCAAAGAGGTATTAAATATCACCTAGCTCAATAGTCCTTCAACCATCGGCAACAAGATCACCTGAAGCTTGTTAGAAAAGCACATTCCAGAGCCCTGTCCCACACTTGAAGGTGAGCCCCACGATCCATGTCAATAAGTCCCCAGTGATGGTGATGCCCAACTGAGTTTGAACTGTCAGGGCCAGTCCTGGTCCAACCTCTGTGACAATTAAGAAAAGAATAAACAAGTAAGCATGTGAGGTGAGGTGTGTGTTAACTAGCTTGATTTAATCATTTTCCAATGTTAACATACAACAAAACATCACATTATACATCATAAATATATACAGTTTTTATTGACAATTATACTTTCATGTATTTGGAAATAAACAAAGGGAAAAAAAGATGTTTAAATAAATGAAGAAAATAATTTGCCAATRGTAATAGAATTGAAACGAAAACCCAAATACAGCCACTATCAGAAGTTGAATAGTCCTAACTGGGTAGCTTAGAATGAAAARCCCATCCTTCCATCCCCTGTACTCCTCCTGAGACTCTGCTGAACTCTCTGCTCCAAGTCACAGCATTTGCTCAGCACTGCCTAGCAAAGAGAGGGACAACAGGGAAGAGTATCAGGGACCATATTCAGAGTTGAGATGGCATTTGCACACACGTCAGCTATCAGTGTATAGCCCTGTGGGGAGAAAGGTGGTGCCTCTCATTTTCCAAAATCTTTATTTCTAAATCTGTGTGTCAAATTCTCACTTCCTGCAACACCTCCTGTGTGATTGGTAACTGACCTAAAAAGTGTTGGCCACCAATGGCTGTCCCAGAATGCTTACAAAACAGACTCAGAGGTGGCACCCCAGTTGGAAGAGGAGTCCCAGGGACTTGTCTTGAAGCTGCATTTGAATCACAGGCATGCTTTTTATGAAAGTCTAAAAGAGATGTTTATGTGATGATATTCCAAAGGCTGACATACAGCTTAACAGCTACACAAGCTACCCCTTGCTGCTGCCATTGGTGATAACCAATCTCCAAGCAATCATCTATATTACTTTGTATCTGTATTTAATCAGAACCTTAGATCTACCTCTCTGGGCCAGTTTCTTCATCTCTACAGTGGACAACATCATAAGGCTTCTGGAAATAAGAGAATAGCTATTGTTATTGTTATTTTAACAGAGAACCCAGGGGAGACTGAGACACATTCACTTTTGAAACTTTTTGGAAAATCACCTACTACCTATAAATTTATAATCTACCTATAAATTTTACCTAGGGAATGGAAAGAAGAATTTAACTGCAGAGCAGAGTGTCCTTTTTGATCTGGAAAGAACTACTTGAATGAAAACATTATGCAAATATTAACCAAGGGTTACTCTCTTTGTCCTGGAAGTGGCTGGTATATACCAACCTACTTGCAGAGAGCTACAAAAGATTCATGGAGAAAGTGGAATGAAGCATCTAGCCCCTTCCTTTGGAAGGTCAACATTATAAGAAAAACTGGTAGTGTCACCTAAGCCCAGGTGTCAGGAAAAAGACAGCAAAAGTCACGGAGAGGAAACATTCCAAAGAAGAGGMGATCTGGGTTGGTGATGTAGAGTCATAAGCTCAGTGGGGTCAGAAAGTCCACCCTCAACATGAGACCCCATTTCTTGACAGAAGGCAGATCAGGAAAAGGACAAACACTGAAACCATTGTCCGTAAGCCTGGGGGCCCTTAGGAATAGTTAGGGAGAAGAACCCCAAGAAAAGACTRAACTTCCTAATAATTTGGTACAATAGGCTTATTATCATTGGAATCTCAATCTTGTTTGATAATAGGAGCTGATGATATTTCATGGCCCCAGGTTCCAAATCCCTTCCATGTATGAACAAGGAGAAAAAGATGGGTAAACCCAAAGTTATCACTTTTCCTGAATCACTCAGTGATGATGACCCTGCAGAGGAGCTTCAAGAGGACAGATGATGCCCATCCATGGGAACCACATGCCCTTCAACAAAGACGACATTCCAAAGTAGAGGGGTACAGGATGTTGACAACTATATGTGCAGATCTTCCAATTGTGTGTGTGTGTGTGTGCGCACACATACATGCACATTCAGGGCACTGGGGCTGAGAAGTTCTGGATTCCAGAGTTAAAGAGAAGAACCTGATGCTTCAACCTCAGCAGAGGGAAGACTATGTCCATTGGCATAAGAAGAGCTATCTTACCGAGAGTACTGATCATTGATGCAACTGAAGTTTAAAACTGCAGGGGTGTAATGCACCATTTCTCCTGTGTCACTGATACCGGGAGCCAKCAATTCTCCAGTTTTTTCAGACCTTGAGTGACACTGAGGGCGGGGAGGGAATGCATAAACGATACACTCCTATAGCATTACTTAAAAGTCCAGCCAGAGTTCATTCTTCTTTGAAATCCTAAAGTCATATAGAGATGTAGCTCAGTGGTAAAGTGCCCCTTGGGTTCAATCCCAAGTGCCAAAAAAAAAAA